GTGATTAGACCCTTCACAAGCATTCTTGTATATGGATGACTTAATCGTCATCGGTTGTTCCGAAAATCACATGATTAAAACTTAACAAACGTTTTTGACTTGTGTAGGAAACACAACCTCAGACTACATCCAAAAAAAAATGCACATTCTTCATGCATAAAGTGACTTTTCTAGGTCACAAATGTACTGATTATGGTATTTTGCCAGAATATTACGATGTCATTGAAAAATACCCAGTCCCTACGAACGCTAATAGCGCTAGAAGATTCGTAGCATTCTGCAACTACTACAGACGATTTATTAAAAACTTCGCCGACTATTCACGGCAAATAACCAGATTATGTAAAAAGAATGTTCCTTTTGAATGGACAATTGAATGCCAAAATGCGTTCGATTACATAAAACAAGCTCTACTAAAATACCCAAATTTTAGCAAAGAATTTTGCATCAAAGCCGATGCCAGTAAATTAGCCTGCGGAGCAATTAAAACTCAAACATATGGAGATAAACATTTGCCCGTAGCATATGCTTCTCGTTCATTTACAAATAGAGTAAGCAATAAAAACACAACCGAACAAGAATTGGCAGCAATACACTGGGCAATAACAAATTTTCGACCATATATATATGGTCAACATTTTTAAAAATCAAAACAGATCATAGACCATTGACATATATGTTTTCAGTGATAAGTCCATATTCAAAATTAACAAGAATGAGACTAGACTTAGAAGAGTATGACTTTACTGTAGAATATCTCAAGAGTAAAGACAATTTCTTTGCTGATGCATTATCACGCATCACAATAAAAGAATGAAACGATAATAATGCTCATAGTGCTTTGCCCGTATCTAAGAAGACCGGGAAAATAGTAAATGCCGAGTTTGGTCAAGATATCTTGATAACTAAAAAAGGTTTTTATTCAAAAACCTGGTTTTCGACCGATCGTTCCAATGGCAGTTATATGATATAGTGGTCCGATGTTGATAGGATTTTGCATATATATAAGGATCATAGTTAATCTAATAAATACCGAGTTTGGTCAAGATATCGTGTGAAACAAAAAATTTGTCTATAAAACAACTTAATTTTCGACCGATCATTCCTATGACAGATATATATAATAAATGCCGAGTTTGGTCAAGATATCTTGAAAAACAAAATGTTTTTTCATACAACAACTTAATTTTCGACCGATCGTTTCTATGGCAGCTATATGATATAGTGGTCCGATCTTAATAGGATTTTGCATGCATATGAGGAACATAGTAAAACTAATAAATGCCGAGTTTGGTCAAGATATCTTGATAAAAAAAATCTTTTTTCATACAAAAACTTAATTTTCGACCGATCGTTCCTATGGCAGCTATATGATATAGTGGTCCGATCCAGCTGGTTTTGACATATTTGCTGCGGGCAACAGAAAGAGGGAGTTCTGCAAAGTTTTATCAAGATAGCTTTAAAACTGAGGGACTAGTTCGCATAGAAACAGACGGACAGACGGACAGACGGACATGGCTATATCGACTCGGCTGTTGATGCTGATCAAGAATATATGTACTTTATGGGGTCGGAGATGTCTCCTTCTATGCGTTACACATTTCACGACAACATTATAATACCCTCTGCAAGGGTATAAAAACATTACTTTCGTCTTTTCATACATTTAGAAAATTAGATAAGTGCATAAAATAGCAGATCGTCATGTATTTAGCTGGGTGGCAACTCTGTTTAAAAATATTGAGGTTAGATGACGTAGGTTTTGGATTAATCTAGTATTCCAGGAATAGTTATCAACTCTTAGAACATAGTTAAACTGGAAATATTCATTACAAATATACGACTCACTCAAGATATACATAGAACATAACACTCCAACATATTTTAAAATACAAGTAGATATATTCACAATGCCGTGTTTTAAGCAAGAGAAGAGCCGCTCCCGGCGGGATACCACATATGATACGGATCCGGTAGCGCCGAAGCCGGTTCGTCCGCGCGCCTTAAAATACCATGGACTCTTCGGCATGTCCATTGCGGCCCAGCATCTCATTGTTGACGATAACTGGTCTCCGAGTTCGATCAATGAGCAATTTACAAACATGACCGAACTGCTGAGTACGTGCTGCACGCTATTTGCGCACATATCCTGTTGTCCTGATCATAAAATGCTTCCTTAGGTCGCTTCTTAATATACAAACGGCATGAGACGAAGGCGAATCATTCGCGCCTCTTGGTGGAGAGTAAGCGTTTGAAAACGCAGTGTGCTGACGGGCGCATCAAGCTGAAGAATATCTCGTCCGGGAATAACGCCCATAAGATACGCAACTTTTTGATCAAGCACAAGGAAATGCAGCGTCTCTACCAGAAGATGCCCATTCACCTGATTGCGGACAATATTAATCAGCGCACCTTTGTCCTGCGCAAGGAGCGGGATCGTCTGGAGGACCGTTTGACAGGGCTAAAAATGAAATTTAAAAATCTATTAGTCGGTCACAAGTTAGAAATTCAATGATCAAGTACATATAAAGACTCTCCACTTTTACAGCTAAGCCGATCGAAGGTGGAAAATCTGATCAAGTATGAGAATGAGTTTGTGCTGGAGGAGGAGCGCCTATCGCGTGTTTTTCAAAAGAAAATAGAAAACTCCAACATGCGTTTGAAAGCTATTCGCACCATTAACATCACATACAAAAAAATGGTGCAGGTGCTGTTGCAGGATGAAATATTTTATGAGCCAATTTTGCGCTCTCTCGACGACGACATGGAAGATCAGGTGAATTTTATAAAGCACATACTCTACCTTGGCATGCCGGCGATCGCCAAGTTTAAGCATCTAAATTGCGAGTTTTTGCAATTGGAGTCGAAGTCGCGAAAAAATTTTCAAGCTAAAATAAAAATATTGAACTCTCTGAAAAAGCCTGTTGTTACCGGCCCGGCGGCAGTCAAGGTCAAAGAGATATCAGCAGACCCCAAGCGATATGTGCGTGCGACCGAGAGCATGCAAACTCTCAAGGTGCAGCTGATGTCCATTGAAAAAACGATTAAAAACCTAAAATTAACGACCTTATGCTCGCAAGCGAAGGAGATTTATCCGCGGTAAGTTTTAAGTCAGTTAAAACTTAAACTGTATCTAAATTCTTTCAACAGCATAAAGGGTAAATTTAAGGAAAATGTAGAACTGCGTCGTAAGATCGAACATGATTGGCAGTGTAAGCGAATGCTGCGCGCCAAAAGGCAATGCGCGAGTATGCTCTCGAACTTATTAATAAATAATCTATCCGAGGAGGAAATTAAGTAAGAAGCCTTTCAATTTATTTATTCATATTGTTCCTTAATAACCTATTAATATTTTCTTATCTGCTCGACAGTCGCCTGGAGCGCATTAAAGAATTAAAAAAAATCCTGATAGTTGAAAACGAATTTGAGGAGGAAAATGTCTTGTATATTAGGAATCGCGCCGATCTGTATGTGATGTTGCGGTGAGCTGTTAAAAAAGGCACTGTATTTCAATCAGATTTGTAATTTTTATTTGTTTTCACAGCCTATTTCTTTGGAACTTGATGGAAGTCCTCCGCCATGTAGATCGAAGTCCCAATCAAGTTAACAGAGATTATCCAAATTCGTATTTAAGGCTGCCACTTCTCAAATTCGAGCTGTACCACATGTACGCTGTGCCCCCAGAGCTGTATCCCACAAATAGTTGAGTTTAGTTATCCTCTTGAAGGAATCGTATAACATTTTGTGTTTTCTGCTATACACAGTTGATGTTATTATGCAATTACTTAAGCGTACGGTATACAAGTTGATGAAGGGCTACCGTCCGAAGATGAGTCAAAGATTAAAGGAGAGTAAAAATAGTTATCATCTCGCTTTTCTGGCTACTTTTGAGCCGCTCGAAACCATCCAAGACGAAGAGCAAGATAAACCTGCAGTGGGAGATGATTTAGTTACCGACAAGGCCTTGGCCAACATTCCGAATAGCAAAAAGATTAAGGCACAGAGTGCCAAAATTGTGGAGGAAGCTTTCAAACGGGATGAACAACAATAGCTTTTGGTTTGGCTTTGTGTCTGTAAATATTATTAAGCCTGAGACACATATTTTACATTCTACACATTACATATATATACACTGCGCTTCATCAGATAAGCGCCCCTTTTACATTCTTAGCAATTGTTCAATATTGTCAAAACCATCTCTAAATTTTTGTCCATTTGACTTATCAATTCTTTTTATAATAAAACAATGGCTTTTCTAACATTCAAGATATTAAATATTCTATTTTTTTAAAATATTTGATCGTCGATTATGGTTTTTATACCCTGAACCCATTAAAAATGGGTATAAGGGTATATTGTATTTGTGCAAAATCCAAATGTATGTAACAGGCTGAAGGAAGCATCTCCGACACCATAAAGTATATATATTCTTGATCTTGATCTTCTCTATAAGAGCTAGAGACTTGAAATTTTAGATGTAGATGCTCCAACAGGAGCTGTATGTAACAGGCTGAAGGAAGCATCTTCGACACCATAAAGTATATATATTCTTGATCTTGATCTTCTCTATAAGAGCTAGAGACTTGAAATTTTAGATGTAGATGCTCCAAGCTCCCGCGCCTAACGAGTTTGTTTCCGATAATCGATAACTTGCTCCGTTTCCAAGCAATCGATAAAAATCGATATCGATATCCTGCTTTTGGGCACTTTTGGTAAATAATAAGAGCTAGAGTCACCAAACTTGGCATATAGCTTCTAAAATAGAATATATATATGCATTTGAAGTTGGGAGAAGATGGTTCAGAACCTCTTGTTTTTTAATTTATTTGGTGTTGGAATAAGAGGGTTCAGGGTATTCCCTAGTCGGGAGCTCCCGACTAGAGCCTCTTACTTGTTCTTATTTAGTCATGTTCCCTTCCGTTCAAAATGTTGGCTGTGGAAAAACTTTCATATTGATGAACTTATTCAAAACACGAAGCTTACATTCAAAGCATACAACTCATTCCAATTGAGACGCACATAACAATACAAACATATATATTAAAAAATATATTAACTACATTTATCTAAAATGCCATGCTTTAAGCGAGAGAGGAATCTATCAGTGGGCCCGCAGCGGGGTAAGCGGGATGGGAAAGACGTCGTGATTAAACCAGTTCGTCCACGGTCCATGAAATTCCATGGACTTCTGGGCATGGGATTTGCGAGCCAACATCTCATTGTTGACAATAACTGGTCGCCCGATTCGCTGAACGAGCAGTTCACATTCATGAATGACTTGCTGAGTAAGTGCTTGTATCATCTGATTCTATGATCCTGAGCCTATGCTGTTCCTTAGCCCGTCGCCGCATATACAATCTGCATGAAAAGGAAGCCAACCGCAGGCGTCTCTGCAGCGAGAGTAAACGATTGAAAGCGCAGTGCATCGATGGCCGCCTTAAGCTGCAGAATATCTCGACCGGGAATAATGCCCATGAGATACGCAACTATTTGATCAAACGCACAGACATGCAGCGTCTCTACCAGAGGATGCCCATAGATCAGATCTTGGAAAATATCAATCAGCGGACTTTTGTCATGCGTAAGGAGCGAGATCGTTTAAGTAATCGGTTGGATCAGCTAAAACGGAAATATAATCAACTTCTGGTAGGTATAAAGCTCCGAGAAGGTAAAACATGGATCAATATACTCGCTTAAACAGATAGATCGCTCCGATATGGAGAATCGGATCATATACGAAAACGAGTTTGTTATAGAGGAGGAGCTCGTGTCGCGTGTGTTGCTTAAAAAAATAGAAAACTCTAGTGTGCGGCTCAGAGCCATTCGCACCATTAATACTACATATAAAAAAATGGTGCAAGTTCTGTCGCAGGATGAAATATTTTATGAGCCCATTCTGCGTTCCCTCGATGACGACATCGAGGATCAGAAAAATATGATTAAACATATCCTTTATCTAGGCATGCCTGCCATTAACAAGTTTAATGAGCTTAATCGTGAGTTTAAACTTTTAGATGAAAAGTCGCGGAAAAATCTGCAGGGCAAGCTGAAAATCTTAGCTTCATTGCAAAAGCCTGCTGCTGTTGTGGGTCCACCGAAGGATAAATTGAAACCCGTCACCACCGAAGATGCCCAACGCTATGTGCGAGAAACGCGCAGCATGGCATCGCTGAAGATGCAGTCAAAGTCCATCGAGGAAACCATCAAAAACTTAAAATATGTAACACTTTGCTCGCAAGCAAAGGAGATTTTTCCACGGTTAGTGCACAGAAATTCTTGCAAAATTTAACCAAATTAAAGAAAATTTTCGCGTTTTGCAGCGTTAAAGGTCAAGTGCAGAACAATAAAAGCCTTTGCAGGGATATCGAAAACGATCTGCAGGCTCATCACATACTCAGGTCTAAAATGAAATACACGACTGTGCTGGACGAGGTGCTAGTAAACAATTTATCCGAAGAGGAAGTAAAGTGTGTACTGTTTGGAATTATTTCATATATCCTATTAAACGTCTTATATTATTCGACAGTCGACTTGAACGCATTCGAGAATTGAAAATGATTTTAAAAAAGGATGAGGATTTCGAGCAATCTGTTGTGGACCATATCAATAATTGCGCGAATATTTACGTAATGTTACGGTAATGTATATATATTTCTGATCAGCATTAACATCCGATTCGATATCGGCCTGCCCGTCTGTCTCTTTCTATGGAAAATGGTCTCTCTCAATTTCATAACATCGTCACGAACTTTTTGTTGCAGACAGTCGGCCGGATCGGCTAGTTATATCTTTAAGGAATGGTGGGTCTAAACTTAGCCTCTAAGCTCTTTCTCCCCACCATTTGCGTTTACGAGTAAAATCTTGTTAACATTGTATCACTACATAATATATATTATATCGGTTAAAATTGGATTGTCCCAAAGTCGTTTGCCTTTCAAGAATTCTTAACCCCACCCAGCAATTGCAATGTTTACATTCTCGTAATATATGATATATTTTTGAATTATCGTAGCAATTAAATTGGTATCATATATGTGTATATATACAATGGTATTTAATCTTCGGCATGCCAAGGATATCCATCCTTTCACATTTTTTCTGTTCTAATCCTTTTTTCTTATTTAATGCAGCGTTAGCATTTGGAACCTTATTGATATTTTGCAAAATGTCGATCATAATCCCAGGAACTTCAATATTAGATATCCCAATTCGTATTTGAAGTTACCATTGCTTAAATTCGAATTGTTTGGTATGCGCGCCTTGCCGCCAGGCTTCTTCGAGCAAGACAGTTAAGTTAAGCTACGCTCCACAAAAAAACCATTACAAATATTAGTTATTTCGAAATACGCAGTTGATAAACTCATGCATGTTCTCAAGCGTAAGGTTTTCAAGCTGGTAAAGGCCTACAAGGTGCAAATGGAATCGGAGACGCGGATCTGCCGGAATAAATATCATCAAGCTTTTTTGGCTACTCGCAAAATGTATTCAAATGTCAATGAAGACGATGAGCACATGGCTGTGGTTGGTCTCGACTATGAGAAAGAGAATGCCACGGTTCCGTCTCGAAAGCAAATTAAAGCTTTCAGTGCCAAAGTTGTGGAATCGGCCAGATTCAATGAATACAGCTAAGATATTTTTTTTAAACAAACGAAAAAAAAAAAAAATATTAGATAAATGGTATTTTTTATACTTTTGAATAAAATATATTTGTTTACTATTATAAGAAACTATACAAGAATCTTATACAAAATTATCTAAGGGAAACATGAAGAATTTTGAGAAACCTTATTGATGTCTTAAATTCGATTTTATGTATTTTTGTGTATTAAAAAATATATAGAAAAAACAAGTAGGAGGTTCTAACATCAAATATATATATATATTCTATTTTAGAAGCTATATGTCAAGTTTGGTGACTCTAGCTCTTATTATTTACCAAAATTGCCCAAAAAACAGGATATCGATATCGATTTTTATCGATTGCTTGGAAACGGAGTAAGTTATCGATTATCGGAAACAAACTCGGTCTGCGCGGGAACTAGGAGCATCTACATCTAAAATTTCATTTTTTCTCTACCGCTTATAGGTTCCGAGATCCTTGCGTTCATACATACGGACAGACGGACATGGCTAGATCGAATCGGCTATTGATGCTGATCAAGAATATATATACTTTATGGGGTCGAAGAAGCTTCCTTCTGCCTGTTACATACATTTGGATTTTGCACAAATATAATATACCCTTATACCCATTTTTAATGGGCTCAGGGTATAAAAGATTTTTAGATTGCTATTGGCGTGAGTGGCTTCTTAGCGCGTCGCGTCACCTACAAGTGGCAAGAGATATAGGCGAATCGTTGGCGCCTCTTGGTAGAAATTAAACGTTTGAAAACGCAGTACAAGATAAATTTAAGAAAAGTTCCTTTGGCAAGGTTCGAACTCGCAACGAACCGCATTACTTGCCGCCGTGTCTACTCAGCAGCCACACCAGCCACAAAAAAAAAGTGCGAGGTTCTAGTCGGAGCTCCCGACTAGGGAATACCCTGAACCCTCTTATTCCAACACCAAATAAATTTAAAAAAAAAATTCCCTTGGCAGGTTTCGAACTCGCAACTGACCGCATTACTTGATATGCCTCTACTCAGCAGCCACACCAACAATTAAGTATTATTGAGAAAAAAAAAACGAATTATAATAGCAGAACAGAAAAAAGTCGCAATTACCATGCTGTTAGAAATGCTGGTGCTGACATAAGGACATCTTGATTTAATGAACTATTATTTTCAGTTGTGCGCAAAGCTTTCGGTGTTCTGTAGCTATCATTTTCGTCGGCCTGATCACCCTGTCTGTTGTCGGTCGTTAAATCTGATCCAATGCTGTACTCCCTTGGTCTCTGATCTGTTGTGTTATAAGCAGGTGGTGAATCTCTAGTTATGCTGATGTTCACTGCTGTGTAGTAAGGTGTATTTTCTGGATTCCTTCCCTCTATGTTTTGTTGTTGTTGTCTTCCCTTCTTTCACCCTGTGACTCGTATCTGATTGATATGTCTTTTATGGTATTTATTCTTGTGTCGAATTTCATAATGAAGGTCACCCAAACGTCTTACGATCTCTCCTCGTATCAACTTATCCATTCTCGGGTTTCCAGAAATGAAGGATGTAGTTATCCTTAACCTCAAATTGGCGCCACGACTGCTTGCATTTTAAAAATTGTTTTGTTAATACCTTTTTCTTGGTGGTTAAGAAAAGTTTCGCTGGAGCTTCACCAGTTGTGCTATGCGGAGCGTTTCTGTATTGCTGTAAGAATTCGTTTACGTTTCTTTTAAGTGTGTTGGGTGTCGTTCCCATTGCCGTTAGCGCACTTTTTACCGTTTGGACATTTCTTTCTGCTTCACCGTTCGTTGCGGGGTCCTGATATCTTGTGGTATTTGACGCCAACAGATGTGAGGTATTGCTTGAATTCGGCCGAAGTGAAATTTGTCCCGCTATCGGACACTACCATAAGGGGGACGCCATACATAGCAAATAAATAATCTAGTAATTCGCTTGTTGTTGTTGCCGTTATTGACATTGTGATCTTAACGTCCAACCACTTTGAGTATGCATCCGTAACAATCAAAAGGTTCCGCATAGTCGATTTGAATGCGTTCCCATGGTGACTAAGGGTATTCCCAATAGTGATCTGAGCATTTTGGAGGTCGATTCGCATGTTTTGGCCAGTAGACAAAAGAGAGTGCAATACCCTTCAGTATTACTATACCCAAGTGGGCCCTATGTAGTTCGTCCAGGATGAGTTTTTGAAGGTTAGTCGGGATAACCACACGATGTTCGAAAGTTATGCAGCCCGATGATATCTCATACTTGCACTCTGGTGATTTGTATCCATTTCTTGTAAGACATTGGCCGCTCTCCAAGATTTTGTCCAAATGCTGGTCTTCTTTAGTTTCTCGAGCAACTAGCGAAGCTGTAACTGGAAGCTGCACGTGCTCGATTGTAGATGGTTTCGGTGCTTTTTAGATGTCTTAATATGTTTAGTTGATTTATGTATGCCTACTGCCTCAATCGTGTGTCCCAGATACTCAACCGAAAATGCGGCGAATAACATTTTTCTAATGTTGCTTCTAAGGTTCTTAGCAACTCATCAACATCTTTTGCAAATATTAGAATATCGTCAAGGAAGTTACGTACGTTAGGAATATTTTTCAGTGCGGTCTCCCTTGTTTTCTGCCAAATTGCCGGTATGTTCGCTGCTCCGTACACTACCCGAGTCGGTCGAATGAGTCCGTGTGTTGCCGGATTCAATGTCAGTACGTGTGCGTCATCACTGCGCAAATGTGAATATGCATCAGTCACATCCAAGTGTGCGAACACTGATCCTCTCATTTGGTTGAATATATCCTCTGTCCTCGGAATCGGATGCTCATCAATGATCATCTGAGCATTTACATTCGGTTTGTAGTTGTCAGTGATTCGTATACCTCCCGTTTTCTTCGTTACCACATGTGTTGTGGATGCCCATTCTGAGCAATCAACTCGTTTGTAGAAGCCTGCAGCAATTTTTGCGTCGATCTCTTTGGCATAACAATAACGCAGCGCGAATGGTACATCTCTTGCGCGAGCAAAAATTGGTTTCGCGTCCGGTTTTAGGTGCACCTTAATAGCTGGTCCTTTGACGGTTCCTGCTACAGAGTCAAATATCGCATCAAATTTTGTTAGTATTTGCTCTAGTTGTGTCCTCTTACTCGTAGTCAGTCCCGCCGCTTGTTCTGCTATTGTTTTCACCGCGCTTCCTTTCGTTGAGAACATTTCCAGATCTATGTCGTTGGTGTTGACAGAATTGTTTGTAAGGATCCCAGTAAAATCAATTTCTTTTGCACATGTGGTCAGTTCCATTCGTATTTTTATTCCCCCAATCTTCATTGATATGATTTTTCTACCTACTGACTTGATGGCGTTGGTATTCGATTGTTGAATAATTTGTATTTCTTCCGGGGTGTCTGAATCTGTTGACTCGGAAATCTGTTTCGTATTGGCTTTACATACCTTACTTATATGCCCTATTTTACCACACACGTAGCATTTCTCGTTTTTGAATTTGCAATCTTTGCGCAAGTGTTGCCCTCCACATCCGTAGCATTTGCTTCCTTGCTTCACTCCGCTTAACGGCTTCCTCCTGATTGGCGAGAAGCCCAGTTTGCATGTAGGCTCTGTATCGTATCTTGGTTGTCATTAACCGTGTTTGCTGATCGAAGTATCAATTCCCTGGAATATGCAGCCTCGTATGCGATTTTGCATGCCGAAAAGCATTTGTTCTGTTTGCATTCTGTCTAAAAACGAGTCGTACTTGCAAAATGCTGTTTCAAGCGTAGAACAAACGCTGCTAGTGACTCCTCTGGTTCCTGGCGTAGTTGGCGGAATTTGAAGCTCTCTGCGCAAATGTTTCGTTTGTCATCGAACTGATTAATAAGCACTTCCTTAATCTCGCTGAACTGTAGTCTCTGGTTGCCTTGGACTTATCAGAAACCGTAGCGCTGAATTCAGTTCAGCTCCCATATGCAGATGCATTGCCCATTGGAATTGTTGGAAGTAGTCTTGCACTGTACAGTCTTCTCCGCCCTTGAAGTTTAGCATTGCAAACGGCGGTACTTTTGTAGAGATTGCTGTCCACTTTAATTTTGACCCGCTTGTTGCACTGCTGACTAAATGGCGCTAGTCAGATGACGTCTCGTAGTTGATCGATAATAATGCTAATTTAGACCACTTCTGACACCACTTTTCTGTTATTAATTCATGTTTATTTAAATTAGGTAATTTTCACAAGTCGTGTGTTCAGTTATTTCATCATAAGAGAGAGATGCTAGAAATCGCAATTCAATTGGGCGATAATTTACATGCTAAGAATATATAAATCGATAGTAGCTTAAATTAAAGTCATACATAACAGCAATACAAGTGGGTTATTAACTTGATTTATAGCTCTGCAGTGGTAGCGGGGAGGTGGCGATAGGTATAAAATGAAAGATACTTGACAAATATTTAATATTCTAGAAGCAACATATCATATTTGGTGACTCTAGCTCTTATTATTTGCCCAATTTGCTCAATAAACAGGATGTCGATATCGATTCTAATCGATTACTTGGAAACTGAGTAATTTTTCGATTATCGGAAACAAACTCGATCTGCGCATGGACTAGAAGCACCTACAGCTAAAATTTCAAGTCTCTAGCTCTTATAGTTTCTAAGATCCTTGCGGTCATACAGACGGACTGACGGACGGATGAACAGATGGACAGATGAACAGACGGACAAGGCTAGATCGACTCGGCTGTTGATGCTGATCAAAAATATATATACTTAATGGGGTCGGAGATTGCATTTTTAATGCAATTGAATTTTTCAGAACGTGTTTCCAAGAATTTCTGTGTACATGTACACATACATTCATGCACGTCTCCTTCGGTTTCTTCAGCATTGCAATTTCGATTGTTTTCTGTGCTGCTATTTTAATTCGTTTTTTTCTCATAATGACTTAACGATTGGTGTGGCTGTTGAGTAGAGGCAGTGTGGCAAGTGGTGTGGTCTGTCGCGAGTCCGAGCCCTACCGAGGAAACTTTTTTTTTTGGTTGGCTGGGCGGGGTGTTGAGTAGAGACAGCGACAAGTAGTGAGGTTAGTTGCGAGTTCGAGCCCTGCCAAGGGAACTTTTTCTTTCTTTTAATTTATCTTTATTACTTCAATCGAGCACGTTTTGCGAGCTGCATTTGATGTTGGAATAAGAGGGTTCAGGGCATTCCCTAGTCGGGAGCTCCCGACTAGAACCTCCTGTTTTTGAATAGTTTTACATAAAACTTAATTATAATATTAACTTGAATGCTAGAAAAGCCATTGTGGTTTTATTGTAAGAAAGTTGGTGTCAAATGGACAAAAATTTTGAGATGGTTTTGACAATAATTGCTAAGAATGTAAAGGGGGCGCTAATCTGATGAAGCGCAGTGTATATATGTAATGTGTAAGATGTAATATGAAAATATGTATCTCAAGCTAAATATTTATAGACACAAAGCCAAGCCAAAAGCTATTGTTCATCCCGTTTGAAAGCTTCCTCCACAATTTTGGCACTCTGTGCCTTAATCTTTTTGCTATTCGGAATGTTGGCCATGGCCTTGTCGGTAACTAAATCATCTCCCATTGCAGGTTTATCTTGCTCTTCGTCTTGGATGGTTTCGAGCGGCTCAAAAGTAGCCAGAAAAGCGAGATGATAACTATTTTTACTCTCCTTTAATCTTTCACTCATCTTCGGACGGTAGCCCTTCATCAACTTGTATACCGAACGCTTAAGTAAATGCATAATAACATCAACTGTGTATAGCAGAAAACACAAAATGTTATACGATTCCTTCAAGAGGATAACTAAACTCAACTATTTGTCGGATATAGCTCTGGGGGCACAGCGTACATGTGGTACAGCTCGAATTTGAGAAGTGGCAGCCTTAAATACGAATTTGGATAATCTCTGTTAACTTGATTGGGACTTCGATCTACATGGCGGAGGACTTCCATCAAGTTCCAAAGAAATAGGCTGTGAAAACAAATGAAAATTACAAATCTGATTGAAATACAGTGCCTTTTTTAACAGCTCACCGCAGCATCACATACAGATCGGCGCGATTCCTAATATACGAGACATTTTCCTCCTCAAATTCGTTTTCAACTATCAGGATTTTTTTTAATTCTCTAATGCGCTCCAGGCGACTGTCGAGCAGATAAGAAAAATTTAATAGGTTATTAAGGAACAATATGAATAAATAAATTGAAAGGCTTCTTACTTAATTTCCTCCTCGGATAGATTATTTATTAATAAGTTCGAGAGCATACTCGCGCATTGCCTTTTGGCGCGCAGCATTCGCTTACACTGCCAATCATGTTCGATCTTACGACGCAGTTCTACATTTTCCTTAAATTTACCCTTTATGCTGTTGAAAGAATTTAGATACAGTTTAAGTATTACTGACTTAAGACTTACCGCGGATAAATCTCCTTCGCTTGCGAGCATAAGGTCGTTAATTTTAGGTTTTTAATCGTTTTTTCAATGGACATCAGCTGCACCTTGAGAGTTTGCATGCTCTCGGTCGCACGCACATATCGCTTGGGGTCTGCTGATATCTCTTTGACCTTGACTGCCGCCGGGCCGGTAACAACAGGCTTTTTCAGAGAGTTCAATATTTTTATTTTAGCTTGAAAATTTTTTCGCGACTTCGACTCCAATTGAAAAAACTCGCAATTTAGATGCTTAAACTTGGCGATCGCCGGCATGCCAAGGTAGAGTATGTGCTTTATAAAATTCACCTGATCCTCCATGTCGTCGTCGAGAGAGCGCAAAATTGGCTCATAAAATATTTCATCCTGCAACAGCACCTGCACCATTTTTTTGTATGTGATGTTAATGGTGCGAATAGCTTTCAAACGCATGTTGGAGTTTTCTATTCTCTTCTGAAATACACGCGATAGGCGCTCCTCCTCCAGAACAAACTCATTCTCATACTTGATCATATTTTCCACCTTCGATCGGCTTACCTGTAAGAGAGTGGAGTCTTAATATGTGCTTAATCATTGAACTTCTAACTTGTGACCGACTAATAGGTTTTTATATTTCATTTTTAGCCCCGTCAAACGGTCCTCCAGACGATCCCGCTCCTTGCGCAGGACAAAGGTGCGCTGATTAATATTGTCCACAATCAGGTGAATGGGCATCTTCTGGTAGAGACGCTGCATTTCCTTGTGCTTGATCAAAAAGTTGCGTATCTTATGGGCGTTATTCCCGGACGAGATATTCTTCAGCTTGATGCGCCCATCAGCACACTGCGTTTTCAAACGCTTACTCTCCACCAAGAGGCGCGAATGATTCGTCTTCGTCTCATGCCGTTTGTATATTAAGAAGCGACCTAAGGAAGCATTTTATGATCAGGACAACAGGATATGTGCGCAAATAGCGTGCAGCACGTACTCAGCAGTTCGGTCATGTTTGTAAATTGCTCATTGATCGAACTCGGAGACCAGTTATCGTCAACAATGAGATGCTGGGCCGCAATGGACATGCCGAAGAGTCCATGGTATTTTAAGGCGCGCGGACGAACCGGCTTCGGCGCTACCGGATCCGTATCATATGTGGTATCCCGCCGGGAGCGGCTCTTCTCTTGCTTAAAACACGGCATTGTGAATATATCTACTTGTATTTTAAAATATGTTGGAGTGTTATGTTCTATGTATATCTTGAGTGAGTCGTATATTTGTAATGAATATTTCCAGTTTAACTATGTTTCAAGATAACTATTCCTGGATTGCTAGATTAATCCAAAAACTACGTCACCAAACCTCAATATATTGAAACAGAGTTGCCACCCAGTATAAAAATACATGACGATCTGCTATTTTATGTACTTATTATACCCTGTACCCATTGAAAATGGGTAGAAAGGGTATAATGTACTTGTGCAAATGTAAGTAACAGGCAGAGGGAAGCATATCCGACCCCATAAAGCATATATATTCTTGATCAACATCAACAGCCGAGTCGATCTAGCCATGACCGTCTGTCAGTCCGTCCGTCGACCCGTATGTATGAACGAAAGGATCTTAGAAACTATAAGAGCTAGAGACTGGAAATTTTAGCTGTATGCGCTTCTGCTTCGATTTTATCAACAGCTGTGCAATTGCGATTGTATTGCTTTATATGCTGATATTTTAATTCTTTTTTTTCTTACTAAGCCTCAATTATTGGTGCGGCTGTTGAGTGGATGTGGTGGCAAGTGGTGTTCTCTGTCGCGAGTTCGAGACCTACCGCGAAAACTATTTTGTTTTTTTTTTGTGGCTGTTGAGGAGAGATGGCAAGTAGTGCAGCTAGTTGCGAGTTCGAGCTCTGCCAAAGGAACTTAATTTTTATATCAATTTACCTTTGTTTCTTCTAAAGCAAAAGAGCACGTAGCGCGAGCTGATCGAGCTATCCCCTAGTCGGAAGCTCCCGACTAGAACCTCTTGTCTAATTTTCCAAATGTATGAAAAGACGAAAGTAATTTTTTTATACATTTATTTTGCACTAACATTTCCTTTTGTGGTTTTTCGTTTTCGTTCTTCTTTTTTTTCAACAGAAGTTTTCACACAGTTCGTAAAATGTTACAATAGAAGTTTCTCTTTTCGCTCTGTTGAGTATGTAATATTACTTATATTAATAAAAATGATTCTGCTTTTCGTGAAAATATTTGGTGTACATTCATTCTTTTGCTTTCGCTGGGTAATAATTAACTTATAGAAACGCATTAACAATTCGATTACAAATAAATCTCTGACGTTTCTTTTAATTGTTTACATAATGTGTTCGACAAACTGTATTGCACTTCTCATAATAAACTACAAGTTATGTATGTATGTACGGGAATAGCTAACACGCTAAGCTTTTATTTGGAATTTCATGTGTTTGTAATGTAAATAATTAAGTTATTTCTTTACTTTTCTTTAGGTTTGCAAGCTATTTTTTTGTGTTTATTGAAAACACCAACATTTCTTAGGGAATTCTTAGTTTTATGCTTTGTTCATGTAGATAGTACTCGTAAGAATGTCAGTTTTTTCCTAATATGGTTTCTTATAGACCTAGAGTAAGATTTTCCTTTGAGTAAGGTATAGCTCGAACAGCAGCGTAGAAATATTGTCATAAAACACTTTTTTTTTTAAGTTTGTCGTTTTGTTATAGTTCGTGTAAAATTAAGCTAGATTTACATTGATTTATTTGGATATTTTTGTAGCTACAGCTTTCATGAAAATTCCATGCCTGATTGTTGCCTCTAATATTATTGCATTGATGTGTATATATGTGTGTGTGGGAGGGGAGTTTCCTACTCTACGGCGCCCCGCTGTTTATTCAAAAGTGTTGTATACTTGTAGGCATAGCGCAAATTATTAAAATATACTTTAGGTACATATTTATTTTCAATATCTTAAAAATTAAATAATCACAATTTCGAAAAGTGAAAGTTTTAAAAATAAACACCATTTTTTGGTAGACTCATAAAAGATAATTTATTGGTATGTTGCAGAAACCTTTTATGAGAGCATTTGTATTAAGTGAGAGCATTTGTATTATTGGCACAATCAAAACCAATAAACAAAACTTGTTTTAACAATAAGTAATTCTGCTTTACGATTTTGCCAACCTAATGTAACGAGAAGAATTTTCGGATTCAGTTTTACGGACCCATAATGCTTAGTAAAATTATATAAAAAAAATCTGTTACAACGTGTATTGTATCCGAACTTTATTTAATCATAGTTCAGCATATTGCTGCCCCTGTGTTATTTACACAATTTATAAATCAACTATATATAGATATTTGCATTATATATATTGGATTTGATTTAATGTTTTTTTTTTAATAATAGTGCAGCAAGCAATTAAATAAATGGCTAATACAACGCATGCCTTATAACATAATACATATACACACATACATAAATATATGTATAGTTGATTTCTATTCGTTTTAAATATACAATAATCATAATGCATCTCCTCACAAATTGAAATAATACTTAACATTTACAAATTGAATCTGGGACCAAATTGAAACTAGCTTGGAATGCTTTAAAAATACGAGTTATTTCTATTTTTTTCCATTTTCTATACTGCCTTGAAATCAACAAGAATTTTTAACAATAAACAAAATCGTGTGTGAAAATAAAACAGAATAGACTAAACATAACAATAGAAAATTAGTTAAGTTTCTTTTTTGTTATTTTGTTTGAAGACGGATTAAAGTATTGCAAAATGTTACGAGGCGCTAACACATTTATCATATTTGCTCTCACTTAAGCATAATTATAACATAGTTTATAGCTTTATGGCGTCTATAAAAGACTTGATTTTAATATTTATGTATCATTTCTGACAGTGTACAATATTTTCAGTATTTAACAGATTCCATTAAACGTGTTTCTTCTTTGTTTAGCTTTAGGTTTAGTGATTGGCGTAGGACACAACTACAGGTTTTTGCTTACACTTATTTTGAAGGATGTACATACATATACGTAGGTATATTTGCACCTTTTTTAAATATTTTTTCTGTTGTTTTGTTTCACTTTAGCTAATTATGGAAATTGTTGCATACACTTACATAAATAGATGTATACATATAAATATTCAAACTCATTTCAACTTTTATAGTAATAATATAAATATATATGTATATATATATACGTATATGTATATAGCAATTTCATTTATATATGTATATATGTGTGTGTGTGTGTGTTTTTGCTCAACATGATTATAGAATTCTTAGCATTTCCTTTTCGTATGTAGCATATTGTAAACATTTATAATTTCTTAGTTTTGTCTTGAATTTCATTATTTTTATAATATCTGCAAATATATATTTATATATATTATATTATGTGTATGTGTGTGTGTGTGATTTTGTAATGTTTGCTGGTCTATGAGGTTATAGCGCTTAACGTGTGTGTGTGTGTGTTTCTGTGTGTGAATGCGTGTTGCGATGGCGCCTTATAACGCCCCAAATGGATCGAGTGGAACATTTTTATTGCCTCCATTCTGCGTCGCCTGCGTGGGTTGCATAATGCCCGTCGTTGGCCCCGCCGCATTACTGTGCGGCGCGCCCATCATCGTCGGTTGCCCCCCAGTCAAAGGGGCTGCCTGTGCCAGCATATTCGGCTGCTGACCCATCACCGGAATGCCCTATAATAATCAAAATATATAATTAGTATATTTCAAAATAATACGTTTTGATTTTTTATTTTATTTTCATATCCAAAATTCCAAATCATGCAGGAGTTGGAGGATTACGTGAACGACTTAAAAGAGACGCCAAAGGGCTACATCAGTTCGGGGGGATAGAGAGAGAGAGATAGAGAGAGAGAGTTGTGGGTTAACAAGTAGTTGGCTTTTAGAGATTGGCCGCCGTAAGCTACTTACATACATATATGTATATACACATATATGTGTATGGTTTTTTTAAACTTGGGACAGGCTGCGTTAGTGAGCTCTACATAGGTATACGATTTCAACATTGTAAAAAAATGAAAATAAAACTCAGTGGAAAAACTCGCTACAATATATAATACTTAAAATTCAAAACTTCATTACCTAATAGAACTTAAAAACCGTGAATTTTAAAAAATGGCCAAGAGAGAAAGAGAGAGAGAGGGAGATGCCTACAGAAAGGGCAGGTAGATATATAAGTGGGTACCATAACCGGAAAAATAGAGCACGGAGCAGCCGTTCTTAAAGCTCAGTGCATAGACAGAAGTCAGCGTAATTAGACTCGATAGTGATAGTGAAGTAGTAGGCAAAAATCAAAATTAAAAAAAAAACAATACATATATATATATATATATATATATATATATATATATATATATATATATATATATATATATATATATATATATTATATATTAACACAAACATAATCAAAAATAAAGTACATATATAGTTTTAATAAAATGAAAATAAATAATAGCAACTCATAGAACACATTAAGTACAAACATTTATTTTATATTTGATTATGTTTTTATCAAAGTTTGTTTTGTTTTTGTAGTACGTTGGATTTGTTGTTTTTCTGTTTGATACAATTTTTTTTTTGTTTGTTTGCATCATTCTTATTCTTACCTGCATATAATTTGGCATTACAGGATAACTAGCATGTATATACGGATGATTGATTGTGATTGGCGCAGGACTTACGGTCATGCCATGTGCCTTTATATACATATTTATACATAAATATATATATGTGTAAATGCACATTCAGTGTGTGTGTATATATTGAATATATATATATATAACACAAACATACAGACAGCATTAACACAGGCGCATCGTGAGTTTTTGTCAAATTTTTAGGTGGTGTAATTTTATTATATTATTATTGTCATTTTATTTTTTGTTATTTTTGATATGTTTCAATAATGCGGTACGCGTTGGATAGTTGAAATATATAAAGCAACATAAAATAAAGAAAAGAAAGTGATAGTTTATATATATGTATGAATATATATTTATAATGTTTTATTAATACAAAAAAAAAAAGGAAAAAAAAGAAAACGGGATAAATACAATTATGTTTATGCACGAGTACGAGTATTATACGGAATTTGTGAGTAATTGGCCTGCATGTGTAGGATAGCTGAATCAAGTAGCCGCTTGTTTTATTTTTGCTTTTGTTTAATCAGTACCTACACTGAAGAGGTGTGCCAGAACAGTTAGCCCTAGTGCTAGGTG